CGCCTAGGCGACCTCGTCCTCAAAAAGGTCTTCCAATCTTCAAAACCAACTGGGTTAGTAGTGTTTGGCCCGAATTGGGAGGGCCCTTACTGCATCCGTAGGGAATCCCGACCTTGTACTTTTGAAATTGAAGACATGGCAGGAAAGGCACTGCCTCATCAATGGAACATCGAACACTTGAGGAAGTACTATCAATGATGACCCTTTGTTCCGATCCGATCTCAATATGGTCTAATGAATCGATTGTTCTGATATGGTCTCAGTTGTAAGTTCCCTAGCTTACTAAGCGCGGGAATTGTCTTGGTAAAGTGTGGTGTAATTTATCTCAAGTAATGAAACTTCGGTTCTGTGCCACATCGGTTAGTAAATAGTTTCCTCAGTCCTTTGATATGTTTACTTAAGTGATCCGATCTTCAATTATTAACTGATTAACGTTAAGCGGCTCTTCATGTTTGCTTAAGTGGTCCGCTTCATATTAACTTAAGTGGTCCGATCTCAAATTGTTAACCGATTAACGTTAAGAGTCGCTTCATGTTCGCTTAAGTGGTTCAACTTATATTAACTTGAGTGGTCCGAACCTCAATTATTAACTGGTTATTGTTACGAGGCGCATAGTCTCATATTTGTCATTCATAGAAGTATAAACAGATCCAAAAGGTAAAAAAAAATTTTAAAAAAAATGCAGAAGCACAAATACTTAACAAAAAATTTCATTTCATTTAATGAATTGAAGTATAAGAAGGCCGAAGCCATTACAAAAGATGGCCCTATTCTACTAGAGGGACTTCTGCATCGGCCGCCTCCGAAGCTTCTTCAGCAAGCCTATCAGGCCGATCTCCAGTTAGTCCCCCGAACTCTGCCTCCGATGAGGAGATGTCCAAAGTGGGTATACCTCTTTCAGTTGACCCAATAAGCTTTGAGCACTCTAAGAGGCCCAAAAATTGGTGAAGTCGTCATACAGGGGATGGTCTTCAAAGTGGTCAATGAAGTTCAGAACTACTACCTCTCCTGCAGACTTCAACTCCTCCTTCAAAGAGGCAATCTCCTCTGACTAAACCTCTGCCTTCTACCTCAGCTCTGCCTTCTCTTTATTTGAGGCCTCCAGAGCCTCGGTGGCGAGCTTGTGGTGCTCGTTGGCGTGATCAAGTCGCCGAGTCACAACAGCCACTTGGCACTCCACCTCGTATAACTCCTTCTTCAACCGCTCCACTTCTGCTTTGGCAGTAGTTAGCTAGGCCTTGGCCTCCGTCTTTCCCTCCTCCGCCTGCTTTTCCTTGGCCTGGGCCTCTCACACGGCATCCCTATAGTGCATCGCCTCCTCAAGGCGCTTGGCGAGGTCCTCCCTCTTGGAGTTCAGATCCTTCACCAAACCCTCAAGTTGGATGCTTGTACTCAAGGCCCGAGCCACGCAGGCGCTATTTGCAGCCACCAAGTCCTCAGCTGTGCACGAGGCGGTGTGGTCCATCCACTCCTCGATCCAGTATTTGCTGTAGACCACCGCCAGTGCAGCTATTTCTGGAGGAAGGGCCTCCAACACTTCCCTCACTAGCTCCCCCGAATTTGTGCCCAAAAGGTCGACCTCCTTAGAGGGACGGGGCATCTTCCTCTTCTGCTACCCCGACACTTGAGCAATTAGCACAGCAGCAAGTGGTGTTGTAGCCGGGGCAGTGGCAGCCTCAGATGGAGCGGGCCTCTTCTCTGGAATGGCCACCCCAGTTGGAATTGTGGTTTGCTTCAGAACTGGGGGTGGCCTCGCCACAGTTGGGCGTTTTGGAGGGGCGGCGCTCTTCTTGCCCTTCTTCCGAAGGTCAGCCTCTGGGTCTTTCGGTACCTCCTCATCCGTCGGAGGCTGAAGCCTCTTACTGACGTCCACCAAATCCTCCATTTGCTTTTTGTAAAAGGAAGAGGAGGCCTTCAATGCACGTACCTCTACCATCATCCTCTGGATGGTTTTAAAGTCGGGACGCACAGGCATTTTCTTATTAAAGTTGTATGTAAAGAACGAATTACGAATTAGTACAAGTATTAGGAGTTCGGAATAAAGGATAAAGACTTCGGTCCAGTTACCTTGGGATGCTATCAGGTCTTGGGTAACGAAGTGAATGTTCTTTTGGATCAGCCTATAGTAAGACCTCTTCTTTTGAGGCAGCTGATAGATGATGCAGATGGTATCGAAGTCCTCCAATGACAGCTCGCACCGAGGAAGAGCACCTACAAAAGAAATGCAAATATTAGGCACGATTCGAACCGAAGAGAAATATAAAGAAAAACAACTACTATATTCACTAAGTGTTGAATACTTCGTCGGGACCGTAAGAGGCGCCAGGGGGTCCCCCTCCATCGTGTCTCATCGCCCTGCGGCCCAGCACCACAAGCTCTTCCATTCTTTGATGGAGCTCGACAAATCGAGCACGAATGGAGTGTGGGAACCCCATGAAGTAAGGTAGTACCACCCCCGGGTCTTATCCTCCCGACAGTTACCTTAGGTATGTAAAGAGTCTGGAAGACGGAGAGGAGCATCTCCACCCCTAATGACATCTCTTTCCACAACATCTAGGAGCCCACCATTTGGCTCTAGGAATTCGGATTGAGTTACGTCGGGGCTAGCCCATAGGATCTAAGCACCATCCTAAATAATGAGTGAATTGGCAGCCTAAGTCCGGCCCTAAGGATTGCCTCGCTAATTGCCACAACCCGGCTTAGGGTAGCAGGCCCTCTCTTCGGGCCCGGGGAGGATCCAATCTATGCTATCAGGGATCCTATACTCTACCCTAATCTCCTCAGGTCGGCCTCTCTTAATTTAGATGGGTAGTCCGATGCCCCCCCAGTGCACAGAAGTATCTGCTGGGCTATCTGGTTGCTTCCATATATTTTTCCTCTATTATCGCCTCGGCTATTTCTGAGGAGGTCGCCACAATGGGCTCGTCCATCCTCACTAATTCTAACCCCATCCCCGAACCAAAACTCCCCTCAGAAGCTATTTTTCAGAAGTTAAAAATCCTAAAAGGTACTGAAACTTACGAGTTTGAAGGTTTTCCTGGCCGAAAATGGTGTAAAGTTGCCGGATGTTGGTTTTTCTCGCCGGAGGTTCAAGTTTCTCGTCGAAATTACTTAGAAAACGCCGAAAATCGCAAATGACTTGAGAGCAAAGTATAGTGTTTGTTTCGCAAGGGTAGAAAGCTTGAGAAAAGCTCAGAGTCCGCTTTTTATAAAAAGACTCATCCGATCTCCACCATTGAATTCAAATGCGATCAATCTAAGCCATTCGTCGCATCTTCAATCTAGGCCGTTGAAATGAAATGCCAGATTTGATCTACGTCCAAGATGTCGCTGTGACCTTCACGCTCGCTTAAAACGCCTCACATCGGTCACCACCAGTCGTCAATAATAAGTAGCTGCAGCAGCCTTTTAGGAGAATGGGCATGTCACCCAACTGTCACCTTGAAAATACGCAACAGTTGTCAAATCATTTAACGCCTGCATCGCCTCAAATGGAGCTCCTCACCCGACTTTACAAAGCTTAGATGCACCCGACGCGAGATCCCCTATGGGTCATCGCCTCGGTAACTGCGTTCTCTCCTAAACTTTACAAAGTTTTAGCCATCTCCCAATGCGTCGTCCCACGTGGGTCAGCGCACAGGTGGCAAATGAGCTCTTCAACTTTACAAAGCTTAGACGCACCCGACGCGAGGTTCCCTGTGGGACATTGCCTCGATAGCTGCGTTCCCTCCTAAATTTTATGAAGTTTTAGTCATCTCCCAACGCGTCGTCCCATGCGGGTCGGCGCACAGGTGGCAGATGAGCTCCTCAACTTTACAAAGTTTAGACGCACACGACGCGAGGTCTCCTATGGGTCATTGTCTCGGTAGCTGCGTTCCCTCCTAAGCTTTACAAAGTTCTAATCATCTCCCAATGCGTCGCCCCATGCGGGTCAACGCACCGGTGGCAGATGAGTTCCTCACTCAACTTTGCATAGCCTACACGCGCCTGACGCGAGTCCCCTGTGGGTCATCGCCTCAGTCGTCGCGTTATCCTCTTTTCCTACTAATCATGCTGTCTTGCAACGCTTCGACCTCACATCGGTTATTGATTCCCTTATGCAGTAACGAAACTTTGACGCATCTGCGTAAGAGCATGGCTTCGGTTACTGCAAAAGATCGATCCCCAAGCTCCCACGAGTCGCGGTCCCCAGTACCGAGACATACACATCCAGTCAGGAAAGCAAATCCACCCATTATATAAATATTTATACCTGGACTTGGGGGACCACTATTATACCCCTATTATCTGAACCGCTTTGGAACGCCAACCACCACATATTCCGACCTAATAGACGCCCATCCGAAGTGTTTCCGAAGTGATATCACCTATGTCAACAACCTAATAGCACACTACGAGATATAGGCGATCCTGCTGAACTGACCGAAGCTCCTCGCCTCCAAGGCCGAGGCCAAGTGGACCCCTGTCAGAAGATCCGTCGCCAATTTTAGAAAAAGATTTGTGTCAAGATCCTCTCTGCACCTAAGGTTTAAATTGATTTGACGTCTCCATGAGGCTAGTTGATGTGACTTATCAACTTTATGTCAATTCAACTCAGGAAAGACAAGCTGCCCGCCCACTCTACAGACGCAGCTGATTGACGCCTATGAGCGGACGCCTCATACCGTCAGATGTAGATACGTGTCCCACATCTAACGGTCCATCCCACATATAAATACCCAAGGTTTGGCAAAAGGTAAAGGTAATGAAACTCTTACTACATAGCACTCCATAACAAGTTTATATATTTTCTCCTCCCCCTTATTAGTATTTTGCACAACCCCTGGGTACTGTTCCGACCACCTAAACCTGACTTGACCGTCGGAGTGTATACGGTCGCCGCCACCCTCGTTGGTTCCGACCGTGTGCGTCTGACAGTGCGTTGATTGTGCGCAGGAAAAAATACGTGGAGTAGCTATCGATTGACCACGTAGAAGGTCCAATTTTCGAGGTCAACACATATTTTCAAGGAAGACGGGTGGGTATTTTTCTAATCTTTTTATCGGTTCAAGAACTACTTTTCCATAACGCAAGTCCCTCTCATTTGCACAACTTTCAAGCAAGTGTTTGTATGATTAAGGAGTAACGGGTATATTAAACGGTACATTTCTTGAAGGAACTTAAGGCTTCTTTGAGTTTTCTCTGTTTGGAAAGGGAAATTAAGTGGACATTTTCAAGATTCCATTGCTGAGTTTGGGGTTTTCAGTGGAAAATCTTTGGGTTTGCGGCTTAGGGAGACCCATCAAGGAATTTGGGCTTAATTTGCAGTTTTTATGTTCGATAATTGTCCGGAAGGAGTGATGCTTGCGGGAATGCTGCATTGAGTAATTGGAGAATTGCCATGATTTAGTGCATTTGATGTTCGAGAGGTTTGATAAAAGAACCCTAATTGCAATACATGTAAATTATTGCACAGACCAGCCGAATCTCAAACAGCCAAACCATAAATACTTTACCAATTTACTAGCATCTGAATATATTCTTCTTTCTGCAGCTTGAGCTTACTTGTCAGTAAAAAAAATGGTAGAAAGATTTTTCTTCACAGGCAAAACCAATTCTCAGCCACCGATTCAACCAGACTCGGTCATTCTTATTTCTGGGCCGCCTTCCTCGTAATAACATATCATTTTTTTCCTGCTTTTACACACTGATAGAATCTCAAGCGCTCAGTTATTTGCTTACTTTTTATGCAGTGGCAAAACCTCACTGCTTTTCCAATTCGCATTCAACTCGGTACTAGAGAAAAATGGAACCGTGGTGATCATCTGCAACCGGCGCAGATTAGAAACCAATCCCCCCTTTCTCTCTCAGGTACCCCTAAACCCACTTATTCTCAAAGATTTTAATTTATTAATCATTTATTATACATAATGGATTTTTACTTTTCCTATTGAGTTTGTTCCGAGACTGCAATTTCAGGGCGTTGATCCATCTTCTGACATATTTCAGCACATTCAGATGAAGTAAGACAAATAATCAAACCTCATACTGTATCAAATGCAGCATTAATCCAGCAATTAGTTAATTAGTCTTGCCAAGTCTGTTTATTCTTGAGATTTTTCTAGTTTGTACTTGATTGTTGTTGATGCAGTATGTTTACCTTCTTGAAGGTATGTGGATGACGATGAAGGGATCAAGAATTATTTTGCTGCATTTCACATACACGATATATTTCCTGTTTCAGTTATCATCGACAATTTTGCAGATTTCTTTGATGGGAGGTGAGATTTTCTCAATCCATTGTTTGACCGTATTGGGGTGATGTGGTTGTGATATATGTACATTTTTCTCACATTGTATGATTCGAAGTGTTGTTTGTTTTATTTCGATTTTGTTGTTAATTTCTCATAAGGAATTGTCAAGAGAGATACAACAATCCTCGGGGAAGAGACTTGGCAATGACCCGGACATTAGCTCTTTGTCAAAATGCCATTAATCATGCCAAGTGAGAAAATTGTTACAGCCAGTGTTCAGTGCAGTACTCGATTCTTCATCATTGTTGTTGACTGTAGTATCACCATTCGATTATTTGACTTCAATCGTTCACATTACAGATCAAAGGGTCCTTGTAATCTTTTATTGTCCGATACGCACCAAGGTGATTCCCCAAGGTTGCTCTATATTTATAAGAGATGGATCTCCTGCATTTACACAATCAGAGGTGAGAATCATGGTGAAATTGCAGCATAGCAATTATGAATGGCTGCCCTTACTAGCTTATGTCTCATCATCGATTTTTTGCTGCAACTGTACTCTTCTCCTTATCGTAAATATAACTTTTTTCTTCTTATATCTTCTCTTTTGAGTACAGAAGGTGATGGTTCAGGATCATTTATTCTCAAGAATAACTCAGATACTACAAGAGCAGAGAGGATGAGAACTGCCAAGTATTCCATAGCACTTCAGTACTTGGTACTGGAGGGTGTTACAGAAGATGAAGAACAAGAGTAAATTTTCCAATTAATTACTCATTTTTAATTAGTGGTTCTGTTTAGAGTTTACGCTTTGTCTACGGCCTAAGTACTCTGTTTATATCGATGGAGAAGCTCTAACTTTGCCAATATCTTTCTTGTTTCTATTTGTTTGTTTCTTAATTTATCATGGTAGCAGGGTAAAGGTAAGGGATTATATGCTTGTATTCTCATTCATGCTTCAAACTTAGTGCTTAAGTCCTGACTAAGATTAGTTCATAGGTTGTCCTAAAAATTATGAACTCCTTCAATTACAAAATGAACTTACTGGCAAACGCCTCTTTGATAATCTGATAGCAGAATTCTTCTCCAAGATCATTATCAAAGGTAAATTATGTGATTGCAAAAATTAAAATAAATAAATCAACGTTTCTTGATACATTTCAATATCACAAGCTTCTCCCCCCTCTTCTTTTAAGTGAGTTATTCCTGAAATTATCGCTCTTTTGCTTTTGTAAACTACGAAATTCTTTTTGAACTTTCATTTTCACTTGCTGGCTTCTAATTGTACCCTTAAGTAGCCATCAAAATCTTCTCTAAACATTGCAAAAACAGCAACAAGCTCAAAATCACAACTCTGCTCTTCTCGAGGAAAAACTATCAAATGCTTTAGTGGATGGACGGAATTTTCTCTATTTTATTGTAATGCGGCTGTAAGGGCATACAGCTTTTAATATTGTACACCAAACAAAGTTCTTTTCTAAAGGGTTAAACCATTTGTACACCACAGTCCCTTCACATGTTGAGGGGGGCCAACATGATTTAAAAATTTGTGGGTCCATTCATTCTTAGGGGACTATGTGGGCGTACATGTTTTAAGGCTATACACCAAACAAAGTTCTCTTTTAAATACCCATAATTTCAGTACAATAAAGCTACTTAGCCAAGCTTAAAAACAAGAGAGTGAAAAGACAAACTGATATGCTAGAGAATGATTGGGTATTTTTGTTTTAATTTTTCAAGTTGTTCAATCATGCATTGACACGTGTCCCATCTGAATTTGAACCTGAATGTGTAGTATAATTGATTTCAGTAAACCAGAAATTAAAATAGAAAACAACAAATTTAAAAGTATTAATTTGAAAGTTTAAAACTTAAAATTATTTATTTTCCAACAAAGACAAACCCATAAACATGCAACCCCTCTAGGCTCTAATTGTCAAAATCAGCATCTACAGCAATATGTTTGTACAATAGTAATAAACTTCGGATAATTGATTGCAAAATGACGCAACCCAAGGGAAAGTATCAATTTTAGTATTTATGCTTCCAGTTTCCGCGCTTGGGCTGCATATGCTTCATGTATTATTTTAGCATACCAGAAATGAAAGAGTAAATGAGAGAACGCCACAGTGGAAAGTCTATAAGATATTTGCATGTTCCCCACAAACGATATAGAACTTACGAATTCAAATGAAAATTAGAAAGTTGGCAAGTTTCATTCCAATTGAGATTATTGTTTGCTAATTATAGGTTAAGCCCCTGTTGGTGCACATTATTTGAGAAAATAATACATTTTTTCCATCAAATCAGTTTACAATTTTTGACTTCAACACTCTAAGGTAGGACCCATGATGTGATGTTTAAAATGCATTTTTGTTGGGAAAATGTGGAACAAACGGGGTCTAAGTCTTCTCCTAGAATTTATGGGAGAGAGAGTCCGAATGAACTTGAATAATTTCTTAAATATAACAATTAACAAACTATATTGTGTTCTGAACTTTTTGTCAAGAAGCGTGTGAAACTTATTACAAAAATTCATTGAAGATGACCTTTTGATTAGAAAATGTAAAAGGAGGCCATTCAGAAAGGCTTTTTTTTAAAGATATTCCTCGAGAGAGAAGCTGATGCAATCTCTATGCATCTATAGGTAGAGTAGATGCCCAACTAAATATAATCGTTTACACTCCCCTCACATGGAAGGGGCACACCCATAATAAATTATATGCGAACCCCCTCAATTTGAGAAGAGCGTAAATGATTATATATACTAAAAGTGTACAAATAGACTAATCCAAAAAACTATTGAATTCATAAGGGCATAAGGTTCTCAATGTTTGTTGGCTATGTACAATGACAATCATAATTTTCAAACTTTTTCTACATACTTCTTTTTAAACATACATTTACACAATAAAATATTCTCCATACAAATTCAAATTTTTTTCGTACTTTTTAATCGCACATTCTCTTAAAAAATACTATTCAAAACTTTGTTTTTCACAATCAATGATTGTCAAACGGGGACAAAGTATATTGTCGACTGCGTAGCATTGGGGGACATTTTTTTTCCGATGCCATTCTTCTTTGTACGAGTGTACGACCAATTGCTTTATAGATTCTTTTCTCATCTGTTGCCTTGATAATCATTCTGTAATCAATATGGTACCCATAGTAGCAAACACAATATATTCAAAGATTTGGGCTCTTTCTAAAAGAGAGATTACCCGGATTGGGAATGCATGGTCCTAATTTAACTATGTGTTTCGCGCGGGTTAGTCGCTAACAATTAAAAAGGATTAGACGATTATGTAAGGGACAAACCTCTTGAAACAAAGTCCCAAAAAGGGGTGTTCTTTTATTGGCGATGACTTTACAATTGGAAATTAAAAACAACGTGCCTCCAAGGGGTGCAAGCACACGAGTTACTGAAAGAAAAGTATTTAAGTCTAAAAACTAAGGAAATGAAAATTACATGTTCTCTGTTCGAGAGTTTTGGATTCGGTCCCTTGCTTCTATGTCCTTTCTCCCTTTTATACTTCATGGACGATCTCTTTTTGATCAACCGCCCTAAAAACTGCTTGATCGTCCTATAACTGCCCACTTTCTTCGTAATGGTCAACTTGTCATGAAAACTGCCTTTTTTAATTGCTGCCATTACTCTTCATCGTTCAACCGCCTTCGGTTGAATCCCTTGAATCGTGGAACGTGATAGGGCTGCTTTAATAACTACTTTGATAACTGCACTCTTTGATAACCACGACGCTTTATGTTTGTTAAGATCTTGGGCGATTTGAAGGTTTGGGCGAGAATAGAGTAACAGTTCCGGGCGACTGTATGACACTCTATTCGCTCAGATTCTGGGCGACTTGCAAACTTGGGCGATGGCATTATCGCGTTCTTGGGCCTCCCTATTTGGGCCTTCATCTTGATTTGTTCGATTGGGCTTCCTTCTTTGGACTATCTGATTTGGGGATCCTTCAATTGGGCTTCATTCCTTGTGCTATTTGATTTGGGCTGAATTTTTATGTGTCAACAATTACCCCCCAATATGGCAGAATTAATAATAATTATTAAATTTTGCCATATTCACTTTGTGTTTCCAGCAACATTCGAAATTCTCAAGAATTTCAATCATTGTTTTCTTCTATAACTTGAAAAGGTGCGTCGTTTTGCAAACCCTTATAAACCCCAAACACGCCATTTCACTGCACCATCAAACCACGCCTCAAATTTTTTGCGTCTCTCTCATGATTCACTTTTCATTTTTTGCTTCCCTGCTACATAACCCTGAAAAGCTTCGTTCCTTCTCAAATGGCTGCTTCACAATCTCAAGCTAGCGATTTCTTTAGTTTTGATGACTTTCAGAGACTTCTGAGTCGCCCATACATAACCCCAAGTTTTCTCGAGCTCGTCGATGTCGAACGTAATGAGTTCTACTTGGGTCCTTTCTTCAACAATGCAGAGGCAGTTGAACAGACGGCGGTGGGTCAGCTATTTCCTTGCACTCATGGCCCTCCTTTTCTAAACTCTCTATCGCTGGGGCCATTTCGTGAAAGAGGTATTCGCACTTGGCCAAAATCTGATGTAGATTTTCGTAGGTGGCATACTCGCCTTGTGGGTCATGGTCCTACTAAGGCACTTTTTGATAGCGCTAGGATTTCTGATTTGTTAAAAATCTCTATTCGCTCCCCTACTTTTGATTCAGCACTCTTTTCAATTGTTTTGAGTTTTTGGTCTCCTGAGTATAACACCTTTATTTTCCCTCTAGGCCCCATGTCCATTACCTTAAGGGATGTTGGAGCCCTGGTGAATCTACCACCTTTGGGCGATACCATTTTTCCTGGTATCTTAGTTTCTGCTGGCGCTCCAAAGTTTGGTAAAAACTACCCCGATTCTTATTCAAGCCTGCAAACTCTTCACAATCATTCGAGCGCTAAGCCTTCCCATACTGAGCGAGTGGCCTTCCTTTTAGTTTGGCTTTATAAATATATTTTGTGTGTGCCAAGTATAAAGTCTTCCCTAAGTTATTTACCTATAACGCACGAATTGGCGCGTGGCAGGCCTTTGAATTTATGTTCTTTGTTTTTGGCTGCCCTTTATAGAGGCATGGCCTCTCTTCAAGCTCAATTGAAGAATGGTGCATCTCCCACTGGTAGTGGACCTCTTTGGTTCACTCAACTGTGGTTGAGATCCTATTTTCCATTGCTTGGTGCTCCATCAGTCTCTCGCTCTTCTGCTAGCTGTTATAGGCTAGCCATGGAGCCCTTAGCTCCTGTAAATATGTCCAGAAATGATATTTTTTCATTCTTTTATTCCTTGGATTCAATCCCTTCCTTTTTTCCTTTTCCTCCTTTTTTGACTCCAAACTATATACATCCCCCTTCCACTATAGATGGCGCGAGCACCTCCCTGCTCATTTGGATCCAGTTTTTAACCGAGAAGGAGCTATTTTATGATATTCTAACTGGGACCAACGCCAAGGCAGGGGTAAAGATTTATGCTCTCCAATTTTTTGCCCGTCAGCTTGGTTTCGGCCAAACTTGGCCTGTTCCTCCTTGCTATTCAAGGAACTTAGTTGACCGTTTTTATACTATTAATAAGGCGAAGGCAGAGGCTATAGATGCTCGTAATCTTCTTTTAACCAGCCATTTTTCATTAGCCCCTTCCAATTCTAGCCACGCCATTCACCATCTTTTTGAACAACTCTGGTCGCCGGTGAAGCGCAGATTATTTGCGACTGACGCCAATCGTGTCTTTCATTCATTAGACCAACCGAGCATTTCTTCTCCTCCTCCTGTTTTGGTCACTCCTTTGTCTGTTCGGAGTCCTTCTCCTTCTCGTCGCACTAAGCAGTCTGCTCATCCATC